CCGACGGTGATCTTGTTTGCTTGTTTGCACACTCCCAGACTGGGCATATGCAACCCACAGTTCAGTTAGAGCTATGCCACCAGGTGCAAACCGACGAAGGTCTGATTGAATATGAAAAAAGGAGTGACTTAAGTTTTGATGGGGTCTCACACGATGACCTCATTTTTCACTTGACCAGGTAAATGAGCCGTAGACTGAACAGTGCTCACCACGAACGTTCATGGTCTCATGAATGAAATGTTCTCGGTACAAACGAGGTGGCTTTGATATTGGAACATCTTGAATGGATATTCGGACATGTTAAATTAAAAAAAAAATATTGATCAAAGAACATTTACTACGTTCGATTCACTCACCAACGTAGCTTAAAGTAACCGGGGTTCTTCTGTACCACTGGTTGCCCTCTAGGTTCGGGTAAATTTGCGCAGAATACTGTTGATAACTGCATTCGTTTTTACCGGCTCAGATGTAGCAGATGCATCCGCTGCTGGTTTTGTCGTGGCCTACTGGGTTTGATCGTGTCTCCCCTGGCACTGAGTAATTCTGTCCACTGAAAATCCATATCGTTTAATAGGTCTGTGGATAAGAGAACTTCCTGGCCGGACCTGGGAACTTGAAACCATTATTGTTGCTTTCAGTATCGCGATTTTTGCATTCGCTCTTTCTTCGGTGGCTAACGCTATTTCTGGGTGAAACATATAATTATAAACTGGACAGTGGGCACTCGCGCATTCTGTGCAGACATTCAGTTTGTGTGACTAATTAGTTCATCTGTGTTAACGACGTTGTGGTAGTGTACACGAAGAGTGAAAGCAGTTCAAGCGGTGTGTGTGGGGGTGTGTGGGTGTGGGTGTACATGAAATTCTTATCTTTCCCACAACTCTCTGAGCGCACGAATAGAGGCGTCACACACGCACACGCATACGCACACGAGTTCCTGATTTTACTCCGAGCTTCATGTGCAAACACACACACACACATCTGACCCTCCCTCTCCAATAAACAGACAAGGTATGTCAAAGAATTCTGGATATGTTCAGTGACAAGACTGAGAACGGTCCTTCACTAATACGGGATCAAGATGATTGAAAGTGTATAAGCGGAAAGGACTGAGTCCAACTCAGAGCTATTGACAATATTGTGGGCATGTTTACTCATAATAGATCATCCTATATATAGGGTAGGCCAAGAATGGTAAATAACATCCGAAACCAAAAGAGTGCTTCACATTAAAGCACGCCAAAGTTGGGATGAGGTGATAAAATTCCGAATTGTTGTGAAGCAAATTGAAAGGTATTGGTAAAATATTAAGTCATCAGTGATAGTGAGGACAAAGGTAAACAGGTATCACAAATCACCACAAAGGTCTGAATTCTAGACATATAAATGATAGCATTGCTCCAAAAGTAAGGATGACAAGTTTCGTGTCCCGCCAACGTAATCCCCGAACCTGGCCCCAAAGTACGTATCCCAATGATCCTAGTTAAAAGACAGTTGTTAGTGTCAGCCAAACGTGGATTGAAAAAAGGGGATAAAACGTGCGGTATAGATGGGTTAGTTCACTTCAGTTCAGTTTAAACAATCATAAAGCATGCATTTCCGTGCGACGATTTTGGTTACTGTCTTTTGGGGTTGATCACAGTCTAGTCATTTATCCGAAATCGGGGCTACGAAGACGCCGATGAAGAGATTACACAAACTGGATTGCCGTTCTCTGTTTGTCACTCTGACGAATACATATTCCGGATCCTCGAGAAAATCCCGACATATGTTCCACAGTGGCGGCTGATCCCAACTCATTTCAATTTCACACTGAGAATTCCCAGAGGAAGGTTAGGTTTGTCCTGAGACAACAACTACCGAATAGGCGAGTCTCGTATTCAATAAACTACGTCTAAGGTGTAATGACCTTTTTGGACACACTTCTGGCATGCACGATCTACAGGCCATCAGTCCTCTACAGGACACTTACCTATCATTATTTCCATTATGTATGTGTTTCGTCAAATATTCTCCCGGGCGTTGAAATTCATCCTTATTATTCACTTCCTCATTCCCCTCTAGTGATGCCATTGTGACACGGTACCAGTTACTTCCCTACTGGTACACAATGTTTGCTCGTGCGGAAGCGGACGGTCAACCCGTCATGGCTCCAATGTGGTATCATTTCCGTCACTTGGAGAACACTTACAATTTGGAGCTGCAGTACATGATCGGTGAGGCCGTCCTCGTTAGACCAGTGACCACAAGCGGTGCAAGCTCTGTGGATGTCTATCTCCCGCCGGGTACCTGGTATCATTTCCCTACTCTTCAGGTGTGTATGTGTTTGTGTGAATGCTTTCTACTGTCAATTGGCCTTGCTCGTTAGTCCGCTCCGTTTGCATTCCCGGGTGGATAAAATTATGAACGTTGTTGATTTGCAGAGCACTTCGGACTTTCCAGTGTACACGATCATCAACCTTACACTCTCATTGGTGGGTTTCCCTTGCTGTCTTTCATCCACATATTTGGTCAGTAGATGAAAAAGGTCGCGCTTTGTTGATGTTCACATTTCGATCCTCTCGGGCGACGTTGTTCAAACCAATTAGCAAGCGAACACACATTTAACGAACTTTTCGTGAATGATGATATTTTGCTTTACTTATTTCGACTGGCTCTTAGGACAGGATAAACCGGTTTGATGAAACTCGGGAAATGTCCTGGTAGTTTGGTGAAATAGGATGTGATCAATTCCCCTGACGTTTTCAAGACTGTACCTCCAGCTTTTTCAAAACCGTGTGCGGAATTCACAACACCCGTGTACGGGTGCATAATTGCTGAGGCTATCCAGGATCTTATTCACCTTTCGATAGATGTATGTACATGCCATCCAGTATTTGACGAATCCCTTTTTGTGCTGATTTCCTTTGAAGCCTTTGGATCAAGCAGTAAGTATATCTCGTCTACCAACTAATTAGTGGCCGTTTTCACTTGCAATACATCCATTCACTGAAGGTTACGATCACCCTCGTCCAGTCCATTTTTTTAAAGCGGTTTTGCATCATATTGTTACTGATGCGTGTTTCGGCTTCTCGGAACCACGGGTGAAAAGTGGCTAAGTGATGGAGACCAAATAGGTGAAAGATGCGCGACGAGATACGATCGCCTGCCAGTTTAGAGGTGCTGCTCCCGCAAAGTATCCTTAAACTTGCGGCGGAGCTTTTGCTGTTTATGAAGATCGTTGTATCGTAATTTGTTTGCCACAGTCTTGGGTCAAACTTTCACAAATTTGTGATTGTGAACAGACCGTGTTTCAGACAAACATCACGAGGGGAATTCCGTCTGCTTGCTCTAATCAGTTGTGTACATATCATGTAAGAAATCTAGCAAATAAGAAATAAATTACGAAATATATCCCAGTCGCATTGTGTGTGTG